CTCCCCCTACTCCATCACCTTCTCCCCTCCTCCTCCTCCTCCTCCTCCTCCTCCTCCTGCCCCCTACTCCTCCATGACCGTCTTCATTCGATCTCCATCTCAGGGGCAGGTACGTTTATGTAAACACAGGGTACATATATGCTGAGAAGATACAGGTCTGGTACACTTGTGTATACATATACGTACCTCGGGTACATATAATCTGTAGTACCTGATACGACGGGGGCAGCTCTATAGACCGAAGGTCCGATAGACCGAATATTGCAAAGGGTTAGGGTTAGAGTTAGAGTTAGGGTTAGGGCATATATATGGTTTATAGTGGCATCATATGATTTATAGTAGCATCGGCGGATGTGCGGATGCGTAGCCTGGAGGCTAGGCGACCGATTCCGGACGTGTAGCCACTGCGTATTCGAATAAACCTTCTATTCGGTCTATCGGGCCTTCGGTCTATATCGGACCTTCGGTCTATAGGACTGTAACCGATACGACAACAACCCCTTCAGCGGTACTAGAGCACACATAGGTGCTAGAGAGTTCAAGGCTGTAAATTTGGTACCTATAGAGTTCATGGTAATGCAACTGAAGGTCAATAGGGTTTTTAAAATATTACATAATATCGGCCCACAGTATATGACAGAAGGTTTCATGTTAACGTCAGAAGTCCATATAGTTTCAATACAAGAGAAGGTGAGATGTCTATTTTTAAACCGAGGGTGGGAAGCAGTGGGAAAAACTGTTACTTATACTGCAATTAAAGCTTGGAACTCTTTCCCACAGCAAGTTAGAACAAATTCTGTTTATTCTAGTTTTAAGTATAGTGATGTCTGAATAAAATGTTTGATGGAAAATGTCTGATGGAATGCGGATGGTCTGTCGGATGCGAAATGTCTGATGGAAAATGTAGAAACATTAGAGGCAGAGGAGTATGATTTTCGCTAAAAGAATTTGGTTGAAATTAGGCATAAGAAAAGTTGGTATCGTCTTATGAGAATGTACCATTGTATAACTGGTTAAAACTACAAATTTGTATATTTCAATAGTTTAGTGCTGATAGTAGTGTAATTGTTGCACGAAGGGTCGTTGTCGTAACAGGTACTACAGATATGTACCCGAGGTAGTTTTAGGTTGTTTAGTATTATGTTTATATTTTTATATGAGGTATGTTTAGGATTAGGGTTAGGGTTAGTGTTAGGGCTAGGGTACACTTCTGTAGTATAAGTCTGGTGCACTTTGTGTATACATATCCCGGCCCCTCCACTCAGTGTTATTTAGGGTACGCATATGCTCGTTCCCTCCCTTTGAAAGCACCCCCCTATCTCA